AAATTTGGCTATTCAATCTTGAAAGATAAAGAATTCCAAAAATTCAGAAAGAGTGGGATCCAGGTTTTTTAAGCTACCCTGTACTGATGCATGCAGACAGCGTCGTTCATGATCGGGAAGGAACACTGGCTCCTTTCTTTATCGAAAGTGCATGAAATAAATGAAGCAAATTCACCATGCAGCAATTTGTGCAGTGGCAATAGAAGGAAGGAGTTGTTGAAAGCCTTGAAATCCAAAGTTCATTGAATCCCAGTGCCTATAAAAGGGTCAGACTTTACCATTACAAGTTTCCCGTCAACAAGCAGGAAAAGAAGTCACCAATATTGACAAGTTTAATGACACCAAGCCTCTTATACTATAAGATGATGGTAGAGCCTCGCTAATGAAAGTACTGAGCGAATGCAAAATAGAAAAAAAAAGAACTTGGCCAGATCGATGACGCAGATGCAGTTGATGAAAAACGAAGCACTCATGAATAATTGGCGAATGGAACTAATCCTGAAGATTCATATTATTATTCCCATCCTTATCGGAAGGCTTCTGTAACGGGAGGATATTCATACAAGTCGAATAATTTTTATTTGTTTGTTCATTGAGGCTTATGTGAGTGTCAAGAGTTTTTAAGGTGACTTAGGGTCATGGAAACACTGTCTAAAAGGGAATAAGTACGCTTGTAGCGCCAGGCGTAAATGACTCCTGTATTTCCGGCTTCCGGTATTGTGCGTGCCTTCTCTCTTGCCGTACAAGGACCGCTTTCAGCGAGAGTTTGATATACTTAGACCTAACTGTTACAATGGTTCGAGGTCTTATAATCATGCTACCAATATAGGGTCATCGATGAGGGTTTTCTGGTCTGACTGATCTCCAACCCTGTAACTGAACTATCTATATATTTGATGTGAGCCTATTTAGACCTTGAGGTTGGATGTTTCTCGAAATAACTTCCTCCCGGGATCTCGAAACGTGCCACCGCTCATCTGTCTGTTTCACCTCAGACTGGTCACCCACTTCTTTTCCTTACAACTCACGATCTTCAGCCTCCAACTCAACCTCAATTGTTGCAAGAGAACCTGAATCACTCACAGATTTAAAAGGGGCTGGACCTACGCCGGTAGCCCTGAAAACCTCCCTCCCCTGTTTATTTCTTGCTCTTAACTATTTTAGGGCTAAACCTGTCCATTGTTCAAAAGAGTGAAAATATAATCTTCCCTCTGTACTGGTCTGTTTTCCTCTCGCTGAAAATATTGAGCCTACGAATAACTCGGGACCTTATGTGGGAATAACATAATATTAGACCCTACAAGGCACCACACTTCGTTTAAAATAATATTTTAATGGGAAGGAACCAGTGAAACAGTGGTTGGGCGAAGATCCGGCAGCGTGGATATGGAAATAGGGCGTATATGCATGAACGCTCTCTGCTTCCATCCCAGCGAAGTGGAATTTTTTTTCATGCCGATTAAACCCCAAAGTATTATTTGTAAAACGAATAAGTTACCGTTTAACTGAAAACCGAATTTAAATCAACTATAGATTGGCTCTGAAAAGTTTTTTCTGTACATATCGAATGGCTTCTTTTCCACATAAACCCTTTTTCCAGGGAACTCTTGAAATCGCGTTCTCGGTATAAGTAATCATAACAAGGAACCAAAACGAGAACACGGCGTGCGAAACTGACTATGCAGTATTGTGAGCGCTAATGATTACGTGGCATAAAACAAGGGTTTGCAGATGGTGTGACATTCTCCCTTCCAAACTCATGACCATGTTTTGTTATCAGTATAAAATAATTTTACTTTGAACATTTTTATAGGTCTCATAGGTGTCGGACACAACTTCACACACTACATTCTTATATAATGTACTTGTCATGAGCTAAGTACGCACGGTACACATTTCCTTCTGCTACACTCGAGAAATCTGTCCCACCTTTTCAACGATTTCCAATAGGGGTTAGACTTCTAGCACCGTTGCATGAATCTGATCGTGAGCTTCAGTATGCAAAGAAACTCTATGAGAAGGGATAGCCAGTAATACAAGGTATATCATGCTTAATTTAATTTGCATATATTGAAACCACGAAACGTGTGGAATGACCACTAAAGCAAGGACTCTGATGGCAAATACTCCATGCTGGGTCAGTGGATGCCAATGAATCGGATTTGCTCTCACTCCCGTGGGAAATGATCGTCGTACAAATTTGGCTCGAAAATAGATGCTATGACAAGCTGATATCTGAGACACATTTGAACTAGACTGTCATTTTAATGGCTTTTGTCTCTCTTCAAGAATTTTCCACTAATTCTTGAAACTGAAACTGAAGCTAAAATTCTTGCAGTGTGCAACCTGTCTAAAGATTGGTCTCCTCATCTCTTGGGATGAGGGCAGGTCTCCTAATCTCTTGAGAATGGATACAATGACATAAAATCATCTTTCCGGATGACCATGAATGCTCATTGCTTAGTGGTGGAAATCCTTCGTCATAAGCTAAAGAGAGCACAGGAGATAATGAAGCTGAGAAAAATTATTTTCTCTTAGGTGATACAAAAAAGAACGGTCGTAGAAGATCCCCAAGGAAATATGTCTATGATTCAAAAACTCGTTCACAAAGGAGTATTCACAAATTGTGAAATAAGTCATAAGTTACAAGTACCCGTATATTCATCCATTGGCTATTGGGATCTTCATACCTACCAGAACTCTTCTAGACTGAGATGCCTGAACAGGGGAAATGCAGTGAGGATGAACCGGGATAGTTAGGAATTGAAATAAGGGAATAATGGTGATGGAAAAAGGATTTTCATGACAGCTCCGATCTATTGTAAGATGGCCAGACATCGAATCCAAAAAAACCATCACAGAGAGAAAGAGATTTTGGTGTAGAGGATATTTTCCGATTTCGCGATGTCATGGTCTTGCACGGTTTCCCATGCCAAAGGCGCGCTTCGCTACCCTGTCAACTTCTACGGCATACCCGAAAGTGCGAGGCGTTCCACCACCCAAAACGCGTTTCTGCGCAGATCTAAGAGGGGTCTCTCCGACCTCCCTTGGTTGTAGGCCTCACCTCTCAGATCAAGTAGCAGTATTTTGGTTGAGATCGGCCGAAACGTCACTTGATGTGGATGGGTTAAATTCCATGGTCCTCTGCAACGAAGTCGTAGTTATGAAACCTACAATTTTCGTCTCCAAACTGTATAAGATTAGTTGCACGTGCGTGGCTGAAAAAAGCCGAACTCAGCAGCACCTCCTCTTTCACTAACTTTTGCAACTCGTAACGTTTCAGATAATGTATATTCTTATGAATACTCGAGTCGATTCGCTTTGGAGCCGTAGCATAAACTTCAGACCCCAAAACTGCTGCATTGCGAATGTGATCTACTGTTGGCTAAAGTACCCAAATGAACGAGCATTGCGCACATGATGAGCGAGTGAAAATGCTCAAGAAGATCTCCCTTCATAGCCGGGAGGAAAAGTCCCCCTCAGCCCTGGGGAGGGATACCTCATCCGATTTCCTTCAATAGTGTAGAACAGTGGTCGAAGAATACATTGATAATTAAAAAATCCGGCGACAGGTGACATACATCTGAGAAACATATACATGAAATATTGGGTTTGGTTTTGGATTTTCGATCCTTCCTTCTTCAGTCCTTTATAACTTCTCGAGTCACCTCAACATCATGAAAACTATCGAAGATTACTCAAATCCGCCTATTTGTCATTACGCTTTTCTTTGACCACGGAAATGAGTAACTCACATCACAAACGATATTTAGATACCGCTTTAACAATGCAGTAACATTTTTAGTTTAAGCTGCCATCCAGAACCCTTATACTTACAATCGACATCAATCTAGCAGGCAGGTTATGCTGTGTCTTTGCCTTAATGAGTGTTTACCAACTTAATTCCAATTCTTTAATGAGATGACAAGTACTGGCTATGTTTATTCCCGTTATAAATGTCCAATAGCGAACTTTCGCGACATTCATTGGCTTGGACATTTAGCTATTCATTGGTTTGAAATCGCTCGTTTCATCGAATTCATCGAATGAAGAGATGCCTATCCACCGGCTTTCATGGAAACTCTGGACCGGAAGAATAATGGATTACCACATGAAATCACTCCAAAATCCTTTATTGACATAACCGTAAATTAACTCTCATCAAACATTCTTCTTTTCAGAAGACCTCCGTTTCTTCCCCATTATGTCTGGAAACAACATTCCAATGTGAATGCTATTCAGCTGGAAAGCATTCGCGTTTTGGATAAGTAGACTCACCCGATCGCTTGTTGAACCATCCATGAGATGTGAATCTCCAGTGTCCAGTCGAGACGTTCCCAGCACACGATGGGAATGTGGCATAGTGGACCACGGTGTCCTGGTTTCTCCCTGCTGATATTTAAAAGAAGCCGAATCAATTTCAAGGCATTCGACTATTCGACAGAGATACACGAAAAATGCAATTTAGCGTATCCCAACCTTTCCCAAGGAGGTTACGAATAACAATCCTTTCCGTGCGAGCGTGACTCGGACGGACTGCATTAGCCTTCGATTGAGGAGGCAGTGAAATATGAAGATCAGCAATCCCTACGGGGAGTGGGAGAATGCTCTACATGCATTATCTTATTGAAATAGACTGCCCAGGAAGACCTTTTGTCAATTATTAGGCGTTTCGTGATTCACATGACAATCAATTTAACGTAATCAGGCGGCGAAAATACCACAATGTGAATGTGTGCTGAACGTTTCTGAAGGATTCGATGAAAACTGTAAAATATGAACTGCAATGCCTCATAGGGATTAAACGTTTAATGCGTTCACTTGGAATTTCATATGCGAAGTAATGGATTTCATTTTAATGTTGAATGTTCATCGATTATGTGACGCTACTAGGAAAACTCAGCCTCTCCATGAAGGGTTAAGGGGTTGAAAAAATGCCAGCTATATCCTGGCGAAGGGATTTGATGATTTCATTAAGATGTTTAGCATTGATGAACATTTTACTGTCGAATTCTGGCGATGTATCTATGCTTCACCAGACTTCGGTCTAACTGTAAATAAACGAGGGAAATACCAAGTATTTATAATTATTGCAGCATTGGTTCACTTCGCGATTATTGGAAGAGAAGTGGTTTTTGACTATCTGAACCGCCCTTACAAAAGTCCACCTGAACGAACCAGGTGCATGTCTTCCCCTGGATGAATATTGAACCAGGGATGAATACACGTACCTCTGACAGATGGACATACGCTAAAGAGGTATCTACCTGATGAAGCTCGGTAAGGGGACTTCATGGGAGATCTAGACATCCTCCCATGAATTATGTCATCTCCCGATTTACCTGAGAGGCATTGATGATGGTGAAGAGGTAGATGAAGACAGGCGTGACTTGCATGTAGAAGAACCCAAATATCCAGCCGATGCCCAATAAGCACGAAAGGGATGTCGTGGTCCATACTATGTACCTAGACCATTTCAATATTGTATAGTGTCAACATTTGAAGTCGTATCGAATAGTTCCAAAAAACACGAATCCTAACTTACACTTCGTTCTTCTGAGTGGAATGTCGGACATTCCCACTCTGACTAATGTTTCGAATCGCCAGAAACATCAAAACAGTGTTCGAGAGAATAATGACCAGGACCGGGCCGGCGAAGGTCCAGATGTAGTGAGGCGGTGACAACCAGCAGCTGGGAAATAAATGAATAAATACAGAATAATGATGTCTATGACATTCATGATGTCCACAATATCGTCATTTGTGCCCTTTATTTATAACATTGTACCCAACCAATGTAGATGCTCTTGATTTTTCTTTGAATCCCTTAGTTCGAGTTTAGAATCATACTGTGCGCAGATGTACCTTTGAAAGTTAAACTAAATACATTCTATTTATTTTGGAGCCCCTAACGCAAAAAATCTATATAAATGTGCGTTGACAAGACAAAAAAATTCATTTTCCAAGATCTGCCAATGTTTCTAGCAATTTTGAGGAGCTTTCAGCATGGAATCAAGTCTTACAATTCTCCAGCACCATATCCATATGTATCAGTGCCGAAAGACACCGCAGCAGTGATGCCGACGATCCCGAAAGGAACACCGTAACCCATGATAAAGTACGTCCGTGTGGAGAGATTGGATCCGGTTGGAAATACCAGGACAAGTTGACGATAGATAAAAAACCCCTCCAAGGCCATCCACATGAAGGCACATAGGAATATGAAGTGAAGAAAGATCCCCGAGATGGCACAACCTATCTGTATTATGAGAGGAGTTCGGATAAGGAAATAAACATCTATGAATTCAATTTGCAAATTGAATCAATGTTAGTAATTTCGTTACGATGAGACTTTCATAAGGGAGGAGATTCCTGGTGATAACATTCGTATGAATATGACACATGTTTCAGATGAATTTTATTCGAAAATATAATGTCGTGCATAATGAAATATGGGTTATAGAGTTTCGAACAGATTTCCATACCAACCGTGTTTTCTTGCAAATGATAAAGGATGAAAAAGTATTTCATACTTGGATCTAGTACAGAAGCCTTCAAATTTCAGTACCATTCTAGCCAAGAAAGTTATAAAACAACCTTGAAATATCTGTATGTGCTCTTGATACAATCAAGTCTTGTCAAATGATTTATGAAACGATAAAAATGGATCCCCAAAAGGAAATTAATTTGATGCAATGATGTAATACGGTCCAAGTCGAGTGATATTCCGAGAAGTTCATATCCTCACCTGAGACTGATTGACGATTTGCCGGTCAAGGAGAAGGAGGAGGAAAATATGGCCCAACAAAAGGCAAATACATAACTGCTTGTTCAGCTTCACTGATTTTGAATTCCCATTACTAGAGAAGATTAAACCTACAGTATAGACAACCAAGGTTTCAATGTTCTGGAAAAATGCAAGAACTTACTCGTTAATTTGAAAAATGATCAAGGCGAGTATGAGTCCGATAATGGAGAGGGAAGACAAAACGATGGTGAGCACCTCCAGTGCTATGCCACGTCCCTGAAACGAACCCATGCTCTTGTAAATAATTCCAATCAAATTCAGCCACAGTTATTCCAATTTAAGCAAGGAATATGCTCGCCCTTGTTTTAATTTCAATTTCAGTTTTAGTGCCTACATTTTTGGCCGAATCTTTTGGACTCGTTTAACACTTGGTTGAGAATGAAGTGCTTTTGATAAAGCAGTTCATGTACAGACAGAGTAAGACAATGTCAGAGTCAATATGCTAAATCATGCCACATCCTAGCCCTATCTCCGAAATAGGGATTGCTACCAGCCAGCCTCATCTCTCGCGTTTCCGAAGGCCTAACCAACAGACAGCCTTCAGGTCACTTTTTTCTTTCAAAATGCAATTCTCGATTTACGAAGCCAATTAGTTCTATAAGGGTAAGTCCGTGGTCTTCGAGACTTCTTAGGAGTCCGGAGTCAGGAGAGTTAGTGATATCAAGAGGCGATTTCGCCCATTTCGATATCACNTATGCTCTCCATGATCTTCCCTGGGATACTCGTGAGACTTACCGGCCTGTAATTTCCTGGATTACTCTTTTCGCCCTTCTTAAAGATCGGTACGATTGAGTACCTCATACTAATAATAATTCATCATCTAGTCTTACGACATCAAGAGAGACATAATAGTTCCCAAGAGAAAGTCGAAAGACCTCATGAGGTCTCATAATGATTCTCGTAGCCCTTATGAGAACGTTGCAAGGCCTCACGGGGAATCACAATTCTCATATGAAAGTCATTATAAACTCGAGTTCTCATTAGTTTTTTCCACCATGGTCGTGGGTATCCGTCCTAAATTGTGCAAAACCGACGAGTTCTACGCATTATCAAAATGAAAACCCAGGCGTGGCGGTATGCAGAGGACGTTTCGAGACCAATGAGTCACTTCACGTTAAGCAGCTATCGCCTGAAACCTCAAGAGGGTCTGACACACTGCAAAGTTGAGATCGTTGTATCTCTGTTTCTAGTGGGCAAGATATTTTAATCTGCATCATGTGAAATATGTTTGGACGATATGGATGATACGTTAATAACCAGTGTGTTTTCCAATCTCTCTTGCTTCTCACAGGTCTACATTATTAGGAAAATGCTTTGTTTTCATCTTTCTGTTTTAGACATTGACGTTGTTTGTGGCCCCTTACTGACAAGAAGGAATATCAGACCTATTTTAAGAGAAATATTATTTCGTAAAAAAGCAAACTACGTAGAACCACATGCAGCAGATGAAGCATTTGGACCTGAGCGATGGTTTGGAAATGGCGACGGGCCTTGCCTCTTGCATCCGGTGCTAGACGTGAGTCAACGAACGGGTTGTCCAGATATTACGCTTTTTCGCACACATGTGGAGTTTGTGAGTTGGGATATGGATTGGATGAAACAAACTTGAGATAGAGAAAGGTATGGAAGGCAGGAGAAAATGCCTAAGAGAGGTGAGGAACATAAGTAATTTAAATGGGGATGCCTCTCCTCGCCAAATTCCCTTTTAGATCTTTGGAATGGTGTAAAAATCATGAGCGAAAGATACCAAATGCTTTCTATTAATATATTGGGTTTGGCATTTTGCAAGAGCCACAAATCCATCTACAGAACAAACCTCATTGTACACTAAGGTTTTACTTCTGGTTTGAAGTTATTGAACTAACCCATAACAAGACACGTTCTTGACACCCTTTCAAAATTGCAGGACTTGAATACAGAGTCCTTCCCATTCAAATTGCAAAACGCCCTTAGAGCTCCGGCATTTGTCGCATACATGCAAAAGTTTCCTCTCGGTGAGAAGCTACTGATGATAGAGGCGTTCAATTGCTGGTTTGCTTTGCCATAACACAGGTGTTCCTCAAATTGTCAGATAATATGGAGCTCGAACTTCAATTGACCTCAGGTGATCTTCGTTTTTTCTATTTGCACCATCACACCTACTAGAACAGAGTTCCTCCCTTTTTCATTCGTATTTCCAGTTCCTTTTGTGCTAAGGGGAACCACCTTATCGTGGACAAACATTAGATAGGTGGATTGCACACGAGCGGATGTACACAAATCCGGCATCACGCCCTTCTCGTTTGCCCCAGAGAGGAAAATCTATATAATAATAGCCGATGTCCTCCATCTATCCGCGAGGGGCCAGAATGGGTCGAATTTTCCCAACCCGACCCAATCGGCCCGGTTCGAGTCGTGGTCCTACCCGACCCGAAACTCGAGCGGCCAAATCGAGCTTTGCGGACTCCACCTGCGGGTGGTGTAGGGTCGATCGGGCCAGCCCACAGCCCACTCAGGCCTCTACGCCCAGAACTCGGGGTCTCTGGGTACGTCCTTTTTCCAAGAGGCTCAGCTGCCTCTGCTGAGCTTCCAGTTGATGCTGAAGGCTGACGCTCCCATGACGTCACAATTGTGCTGGGCTGTTCAGTGCTCTCAAAGTTCGCGACGTTCTGCAGTCAACTGCTTGAGTTCATTTAACCCTTTCACGCATGGTGTCCACTCTAGTGGACGACAAAATTTTTGGCGATGATGATAGTCTTTTTGGCCATGGTTTACACATACCTCGAAACTTTTTGTGTATGCAGTCAACTCAAGGGCACATAATCTCTTCAGTGTTGCTTTCTAGTGGTGAGACATGCGACTACTATAGCAGAGTACCTCCTTAAACGCTAAACCAAAAAAAAAGCTTTTCCTCGAAACATTCATACTTCAAAGGGTTCATGACGTGAACACAACAAGAGCTGACGGAACGAGGTGTATTTTTTGCCAGCAGCTGTGAGCAACTGGAGAAAAAGATCCCTCTGATAGTGCATTAACCTGCACCCAACAGGAATCTTGTTTGCCTACCGGGCTGCCTGCCCGATCAGGTTTTTCCATTGAAGCTGAAACTCATGCCGGGCATAGTCCAAAATCGTACCTGATCCAATGCCATGTGTTCTAAATTTCTAACGACGTATTTCACTCGAATGCTACGAGGCAGCACTCATTGAAAATTTGCATACATGCAATTGCAGGTTCCCTTATGTTCCGCATCCCTATTATTGTTCCAAAGCGTGACATATTGGAATACGAACGTTATCACTACAATCCTCTGAGACAGAACTCTTGAAATTCCTATAAAGGGAAATTGGGAGTCTCTGAGGATGAGAAGGATCTCCTCTTCTTCACCTGATAGACGTGAGTTCCTAATTCATATAGTCTGTCTCAATGAATATCATAGAACCGATCCTGTTGAAATTTTGCATGTTGGGAAATTCTAGGATTTGGGAAGGGGGGTGGTGTATGACGGGACGCACTCAATATTATTCATTCGAAATATTATTTTTTTTATAATTCCAGCTCCGTGTTTCATAAAAATGCTTTGCGACAAACGTCGCTTAACCTCAAATATGAAATGAGACGTCGCGGAAGTGGAACATATTTTTAAAAGCCTCGGGACCACTCCTACATCCCCCTTCTCTAGTTTTCCGGTCTCGTTAACATTTATAGCCCCTGCTCCGAATGTCTCAAGAAACTACGTATTTCCACGTGGCCCTGGCATATTGCAAACGTATTCGCGAATCAACCTGCATGTTGTCTGTATTTGCATTTTCATCAAAAAGCACAGAATCTAAAGCAAAATTCGAGGAATCGTTACAACAGATATCACTGGCGGTCGAAATGAAAAAGTAGCAGTGCTCGGATATGCGTGAAAGACTTAAGTGGCTAATGAACCTGCTTCTCGGCTTTGCATACCGTCGATTTTGGACGAGGTTGTGAGTGGAATCTAGGCAATTAACATGCGATACCATCTTCTCCGCGTCCTCAAACGATGCCCCCCTCACTTACCTATGATTAATCCAAATGTACCCGAATATCCCCCTTTGGGCTCAGGGCGTGGTAAAGATGGACAATTTCAGAATTTCTTTGCGAAGATACAAAACCCTAAGACTCGTAATTTTTCTTCTGTCTCGAAGCTTAACCTCTTCTACTTATTCAAATGTCCCCAGAGCAGAGATAAATCAGAACTTTAGGCCAGAGAATGTTACGTAGCAACATGATAGGAAAGGCAATTGTGTCTAAGAGGCCGAAGCAGAGACAGGGTAAATACAAGGTGGGCCAAAAGCCTTTGACCAATTTTAAGATTCAACTAGAAAAAAATTATAAGTCGCCAGGAAAAATGTGAAGCTAATTTCATTTGATGGGTACATACATGAAGTTTTTTTTCATACTCTCCGCAAACTTCAATGTGGACACCCTGTGTCACATGGAGAACATCAAATCGAAATTCCAATTCTTCCCATGTGTGAGCCAGCATGCCTCTATTGATTGTTGTGACGATCTCCTCCACCTGATCCGTATCTCAGGTGGAGGATCTCCAACCCACGGTAATCTTCCAACAGGATGGTGCCCCGCCACATTGGGGTAGGATTCTCGGCGACTATCTGGATGCAACATTCTCGAATCGCTGGCTAGGCAGAGATGGCCCACTTACTTGGACTCCCCGATCCCCAGACATTACACCTCTAGGCTTCTTTCTGTGAGGTTATGTTAAGTATAAGGTTTATGCTACCAAGGTTACAGAAGTTGAAGATCTGAATACACGGATCAGGGATGTCATCGCAACAATCAACAGATGCACGCTGGCTCGCACATGGGAAATATTGGAATTTCGACAGGATTGTTCTCCATGCGACACAAGGTGCCCACATTGAAGTGTCTTGAGTGTATGAAAAAAAAACTTTATGTATGTACCCATCAAATGAAATTAGCTTCACATTTTTCCTGGCAACTTATAATTTTTGATTGAATTTTAAAACTGGTAAAAGACTTTTGGCCCAACTTGTATAACTAGACTGGAGACACTAATGGGAAAGGTGCTGCAGCCGCAAGCCAATTTGAAGGAGCGGCCGCCATCTCTCATGCTGTCAAGTCGCCCAATAAACCCATGGCTTTCCAATTTATGACATCACACTCGAGTGTGAGCCTTAATTCAACCCTGCATTGAAAAAGTGCAACACCTCGTCAGAAGAGGATCCGAATCTCATTGTTGT